CATATTGCAGCATTGCCGTGACCAGGATTCGAACCTGGGTTACCACGGCCACAACGTGGGGTCCTAACCACTAGACGATCACGGCTATTGAAGACACTTGGAATGTAGCCGAAAATAAGTGTATAACAGCGCAGCGAGCATTTGTATGTATGTGTATGTGTGTGTAGCAATGCTTTGGTCAAGCTTTGCTACAGTTTCTTGACTTTCAAACGAAGCAAAACATCAATAACGGCAACAACAATAAAAAGCAACAGCAGAACAATTAACTGTAGAAATAACCATAACAAGAAAAACAAGAGATGCAAAATAATACAAGTAAGAAATTTGCGATTGGACCCAATCGATTCCAAATTGCTTCCATGCTACTAAATTTATTATATTTGATAAACACCAACACACAGACCATAAATTTAAGTTTATCTGTCAAGTAACAGTGATCATCATAAAATATTTGGTTGCGTATATACATATATGTACATATATAGCAAATTGAGAATCACAGTTTATTGTAAAATTCATAAATTTGCCAAAGTTCGACTGTTGATCATTCTATTTATATTAATTCAAATTATATCGATCTATTTTAAAGAATAATTAACATATATATATGTAGGCACATGGATATAGTGTTTCCCTTAGTATATACATATGTATTCATCCATATAGGGTGTGTCCTAAAATACTTTATAGACTGAGTGAATACATTTTAGAATTTAAAATATTTAGGTTTAATATTAGTTAAGCATTTTGATTTATGTTTTAGGAAATAAAGTCTTTTAAAACTATAGGCCAACAAGTAAATATATCCAATTTTGTCTTTGTCGATTTCCTATTTTCGGCCAACATCAAGATACCTAAATAATCTTTAACTTCATAAACGAGTATTACCACAAATTTGTTATATTAAATATTAAATGCCAAGTACAGTAAAGATCAGCTAAAATTTACATAAATTTACATAATTATCAAGTTATTTTGTCAACACATAATGGAAAGAAGCACAGTCAATTTCATATTTATATTCTTTATTTTTGTAAATTTGTTCTCGTTTATCTCTAGGTTAAAGTCGCATATCGCAGTCGCTGACTACCATCGTATACTTTTCCATATTTCTATTAATTTTTTATTTGTACTATAATATCGTGATTCTATTATATTAACGTTAATTAATATCTTCTAATATTGTTTTTATTTATTTATTTTTTTTTTTTTTGTTTCTGTTTAAATTGATTTCAGTGAATTCTATTTTTAATATG